TCTGAAATACAACAACCAATACTAACTTATAGGTACATTATCAGACTTCTGAGCACTTACATATTACACCTCGTGTAACTTCTGAAATATTTATCCGAAATGAATGAAATATTCGGCAAATTTATAGAAAATTAAATAATTCACAATATTGTCTAACATCCCAAAACCCTACAGCAACTCGGTGTACTTTGAAATCGCAACAAAAAATTGTAATAATGGTAAAAAACATTTCAAGCGTTTTTCACCATTATTACCCTCAGTGTACGTGTTTTTCCAGCACTTTCACGTTAATTACTCTCCATATTTCTTTACAAATATATATAATAATAATTGCAGTCGTTGCCTCTGGTTGGTGATAATAAATCAAAACTTTTGTTATAATTATGGTATGAATTAAAACATGCAATTAGTTTTAATGAGAGCAATTAACACGAGGATTTTATTCGAGAAGTCAATTTCTTCTTCCTTGACTTTTATGTCTGGGAAAGATCTTAAAAGATCTCTTCTGAGATCTTTTCGAAAGCCTTTTGAATATTCATGAAGAAGCCCCCCCATTCATTCATTGCTACTGGAAGTAATAAATACATTTGTTAAAGTTACATAGTAAACATGAAAAAAAATTATTGAAATTTCTTGTAATATTTTAAAGTAATAATGTAAAAATTTATAAATATATATTTAATTTTATTATTATACTAAAATTAATCTATAAGATAATGATTCAATAAGAATTTGTAGTAAAGAATTGTAAGAATGGCATCTGGCCTTATGATGTATATCAAAAGCCAATAAATAAAAAAAAAGTTGACTCTGATTAATAGTGCTTATTTAATTACGATTTTAAAGTATACCGAGTTGCTGTAGAGTGTTATGATGTTAGAAAATATTATAAACTATTCAATTTTATACATATTTGCAGAATATTTTATTTATTTTGAACAAATTGTTTTAAAGTTACAATCGATATAATAAATATATGCACCAACGAGTAGGCGCTAATTAAATTATGACATTTTTATCGAGTCAAAATTAAAAATAGATTTCAATTGAGATTTTGAAGTATACCGAGTTGTTATAAGGATTTGCCATGTTAGACAATATTGTAAATTAATTAATTTTCTATAAATTTGCCAAATATTTTATTTTAGATAAATAATTCAAGAGTTACACGAGGTGTAAGATGTATGTACTTAGATGTCCGATGTAGTAGTAGTTGTTGTATTTTTAGATTGCGATTTTAAAGTATACCAAATTGCTGTAGGGTATAATAATGTCTGACAATATTATAGATTATTTAATTTTGTGCAAATTTGCTAAATATTTCATTCATTTCGGATAAATATTTCAGAAGTTACGAAACATGAAAGTTGTTAGTGCTTAGATGTCTGACAATGTTCTTAGAAGTTAGTAATAGTAGTCGTATTTTAGATTGCAATTTTGAAGTATACTGAGTTGCTGTATGGTGTAATAGCATTAGACAATATTTTAGATTATTTAATTTTGAATAAATTTGCCGAATATTGTATTCATTTTGGACAAATATTTCAAAAGTTAGAAGATATGTAAGATGCTCAGAAGTCTGATGATGTACCAATAAGTTAGTATTGGTTGTTGTATTTTAGATAGCGATTTTAAGGTACACCGAGTTGCTGTAGAGCCTTATGACGTTAGAAAATATTTCAGATTACTGAATTTCCTATAAATTTGCCAAATATTTCATTTATATTAGACCAATTATTTAATAGTTATAAAACATACAACAAACAATTGCATAAATGACATGAGGCTCGACTTATAACCTTACTTTCTGTTGCTATTTTAAAGTAGATAGGGTTACTATAGAGTTATATAATATTAGAAAATGTTTTTTATAATTTAATTTTATGCAAACTTGTCGAATATTTTATATGATTTCAAACAGTAGTTTGAAAGTTACAAAATATACAAGATCTATGCGCATATTCTTAAAATGAGTTGCAATTAGATTAGTAGGTCTATTTTCAACTGTGATTTTAAAGTATACCGAGGTGATGTAGAGACTTATTATGTTAGACAATATTGTAGATTGTTTAATTTTAAACAAATTTGCAGAATATTTCATTCAGATTACACAAATATTTCAAAAGTTACAAGAGATGTAAAAGAAGCAAGTGCTCAGATATCTGATGATGTACCAATCTTGGTTGTTAGTATTTTAGATTGCAATTTTAAAGTATACCGAGTTGATGTAGAGCATTATGATGTTAGACAATACTGTAGATTATTTAATTTTGAATAAATTTGCCAATATTTTATTAATATTAGACCAATTGTTTAAAAGTTACAAGAGATAAACAAATGCACATAAGGTTTGATTATATTAGTTGTAGGCACTATTTTCAAACATGATTTTAAAGTATACCGAGTTTCTGTAGAGTATTATTATATTAGACAATATAGTAGATAATTTAATTTTAAACAAATTTGCAGAATACTGCATTTATTTTAGACTTTTAGTTCAAAAGTTACAAAGTACAAAATTAATACGAGCTACAAAATTAATTTAGAGCATTTCTGCCTTAATTTTATTAACAGTCTGATAACAAAACGAGTCAAACAGCAAATCTATTTTCCTCAAACAAATTTGTAAGTAAAATACTATTTTATACAAAGTTTCCCGCAAATTTCCTTGAGATAAACCGCGTGTAAAGATTTTAATGCCCTCATTTGGTTTCGGAAAAGCCCTTTAGGAAAATCTTCAACCAGAACTTTAAGTAGATATATATATATATATATACTCAAGTCGTATAAGTAAGATACATTATTCTCCATATTATCAAATAAGTTTGATTAAAATCTTAAGCCAGCAATCCATTGCAAAGACCATGCAAAATGCTTTGGAAGCAAATTATTTTCCGAGACGAATTTTAGTAAGAGAGCTAGTAAAAAAATAGATACATTAAAAATAAATTTTGCTCGCTAAAAATTCAGTAAATTGCAAAGAAAAATATGAAAATTTTACCTTAATTTGGGAACAAAAATAGTGTGAGTTTTTTTGTAAAGAATTTGGGCTCATTTTTTTGGTTTTTGTCAAATAACTCATAAATGTTATATGAAAGTACCTTTTTAAGTTAGATAGGGTGAAACTAGATACAATTTACTACGTTTCTATGTAAACACTTTTATACACTCCGATATAAAAGTTTGAATAAAACGACTTTAAATTCGCTTTTTCATTCAAATATCTTTCAAATATTATCAGTGCAATTAGTATTATTCAAGACAATTTTTATTACTTCCCATATTACAATCTTATACTATCTTTTCCCAAATTGTGTCTCTGATTTCCATCTCTATTATTTCTCTAAGTGTTCAAATAAAATATTCCAATTTAAGTACGAAGAGAGCTTTTTGAGAGAAAAGCTTGAGAAATTATTTTCGAATCCGTTCCGAAATCCTTCGTTTCATTTATAATTGAGTCATTTGCACAATGAGTTCTTGTTAAATGGTTTTTAGTCGGAGGGTTGATGGACTTTGAAAAATATTTAAAAATAGTAGTAATGGTCATAGAAAGCTGTAATTTGAGAAATTATTCTTACATGTGTTCACTTTGATTTAAATGATAATAATTGTATAATTTTTATTTTAAACGGAATATTTGATGATTTTGTAAGACGTGTACGCGATTAGTTCAATGGCAATTGATTTAGTCGGCGCGTTGATGACAAAAGTTTGAAAAATATTTAAAATATTTCTGATCGTAGTATAAGCTGTAATTTAAGTATGTTAATCTCCAATGTATCTATTATGACTTTAAATACTAAAATTGCTGAATTTTTAGTTCAATAGAAGATATTTATATTTTATGGGTCTATTGCGCGATGAGCCTAATGTTGGTTTAGTCGGTGCGCTGATGAAAAGTTTGAAAAATATTTAAAAATAGTTCTGATGACATTAAAAATTGTAATTTGAGCATGTTAATCTCCAATGTATCTATTATGACTGTAAATACTAAAATTGCTGAATTTTTACGTTTATTAGAAGATATTTATACTTTTATGGTACCAATGCGCGATGAGCTTAATGTTGGTTTTAGTCAGTGCTTGATGACAAAAGTTTGAAAATATTTAAAAATATTCTGATGACAATAAAAAATTGTAATTTGAGTATGTTAATCTCAAATGTATCTATTATTGTTGTAAATACTAAAATGCTGAATTTTTTAGTTTAATATAAGATATTTATTTTGTATTTTATGGCACCAATGCGCTTTGAGCTTAATGTTGGTTTTAGTCAGTGCGTTGATGACAAAAGTTTGAAAATTATTTAAAATAGTTCTGATGACAATAGAAAACTGCAATTTGAGTATGTAATCTTCAAAGTATCTATTATGACTGCAAATACTAAAATTGCTGAATTTTTAAAGTTTAATAGGAGATTTTATATTTTTATGGTACCAATGCGCGATAAGCTTAATATTAGTTTTAGTCGGCGAGTTGATGACAAAAGTTTGAAAAATATTTAAAAATAGTTCTGATGACAGTAAAAAATTGTAATTTGAGTATGTTAATCTCCAGTGTATCTATTATGACAGCAAATACTAAAATTGCTGAATTTCAAGTTTAATAGAAGATATTTAGATTTTAATGGTACCAATGCGCAATGAGCTAAATGTTGGTTTTAGTCTGAGCATTGAGACAAAAGTTGAAAAATATTTAAAAATATTTCTGATAATAATAGAAAGCTGTAACTTGAGTATGTTAATTTCCAATGTACCTATTATGACTGTAATACTAAAATTGCTGAATTTTCAAGTTTAATGGAAAATATTTGAATTTTTATGGGTTAGTGTGCGATGAGTTTAATATTAGTTTTAGACAGAGCGTCGATGACAAAAGTTTGAAAAATATTTAAAAATAGTTTTAATTGCTATATAAAGATGGAATTGAGTATGTTAGTCTTAAATATATCTACTATGATAGCAAATAATAAAATTTGAGAATTTTTATTTTTTTACTTACCAGTTCGTCCAAGTTGTTAGAATCGTCATACCATCGCGTCCCTTGTCTCACCCTTTTACACCTGAAACAAAAGTCCTGCATTTATTATTGCATCTCTTGTAACTTCTGAACTATAAATGTGATGAAATAAAATATTAGACAAATTTGTTTAAAATTCAATAATCTATAATATTTTCTAACACTATAATGACCTACAGCAACTCGGTATACCCAAAATCGCAGTCAAAACCAAACAAAAATGATAACTCCTCACCATGAATTTCATGTAACTTTCACCTTTTATACGGTTAGTACGGAACCTTTTCAATATTTTATGATGTATATTATTAGATCTAAGGTTAACCTATCGTTTCCATCGATTTCTGACGTCATTTTCTTAATAAGTTTCGTTATTTTCGATATTTTCCTGACGGCAGAAAAGTCTGATGTCGTCTCGTCTTGTGACAACGTTTAATAATTCAGAGGCGATAATGATGCTCGAATATCGATTTTAGGAATAATTGAATCAGGTGTAAAATTGTAGATTTATTCACACGATTAGAAATAGACTTGGGTAAGAAGAATTATTAAAAAATAAATTATAAAAAGTTTATAGTTTATTTGTATTTTTTAATCTTTTTAATTTAGGCCACCGAGTCAAGTTTAAATATTTACAAAGATATGGTTAAACATAAAACACCTTTTGTATGTTATCTCTATTTGCTCGAGAGAGAATAAAAATATTTTTCTTCGTGCATTATTTATTTAATTAGCAAATTGCTAAGAAAATCCTTCAGAAAGTTATTCAAATTAATTTCGGATCAATTTAAGATATCCTGAATAGATTGTAAATATTTGTAATTTTTTTTTAAACACAATGTATGTATATATATTATAAATATATATATATATATATATTATATATATATATATATATATTATATATATATATATATATATATATATCCATATATTATCTTCCCAACGTCAGCAAAAAAAAATGCTCCAGAGCGAATGTCAGATCAAATACCTTTCAAAACCGCACGGCCGGACTAAAAGGTCGATAACCCGTTCAAATAACTAAATTAACTATAATAATATATACAGACCTTTAAAAAAAAGTCTAAACTATCGTATTGACACATTTAAAAACCCGCCATACCATGCGATTTAATAATATAGATATAATTAAAACTGGTTTGGACGACGTAGAAACAGATTTGTGAATGTTGATGTTTGGGGTAATATAACTTTAGAAATATTTGGAATTTGTAAATAGTTTGTTGGGGGGTTTGTTGATAATTTTGTAAGCTATATTTTTTGTTTTAACACTTTTTTTGTACAGGCATTGTTTAGGAGATATTCAAGTCCAACCACAAAATGCAACAAAAATTTCGACCGAGTCAGTTACCATATAAAGACACAAACTCAAAAATCGTCTTTATCCCATACAACCTTGATATTACATTGATGCTAACTATTCCAATTAGTGGTTTTTGGCGAATAAATCGTAAATGATACAAAATACGTAAAAACTGTTAAAGACTAAATTAAAGCTTATTTAATGAGCTACAATATTTACTTATATAGTTTTTTATTATCTTTAATAATTTCAAAGATATAAAAGCAGAAACTCAAAAATTCTGTACAACCTCTAACAACCAAGCAATAATTTGTTTAAAATTAACAAATAATTTAAATTTATTTAAAAATATCAAATAAAATAACAAAATAAAAAAATATACCTACCAAAAAAAATTACTTACTACATTTTAAAATAAATTTTTACTAACATTTTTCTTACCAAAAAAAATTATAAACTATTTTTCATAATTATAAAATAAGTGCAAAAAAAATCATATTTAAATTAAAAATACTTAATGAATTTATAAATTAATTAATTAATAGTTTCTCACAGTATTTTTCAAACAATTATCACTAAGAATTTATCATTTGACACTGGAATTCATTAATATTTAATAACATTAAAAAATTTAATGTTTTAAAATTATTACAAGTGTTTATATTAATTGTTTAAAATTGATAATCGACTCAAGAAATTCTTGTTATGAGAAAATAATCTTTAAATTGAATGTTTAAAAATTCTTTTATCGTGTAATTGTTTAAAGAATTCAATGATAATATTACATTATTGAAATTGTTAGAAATTTGTTTAAAAAAATATATTTGAACGACTGCATTCCCAAAATTTATGCCATGAGAAAAATGATTTCAGAAAGTTTATATTTTTTTGAGGTGCTAATTGTTTAAATAATTTATCAAAAATATTTTTAATTTAAAACTAAGATGACAAAAATTATAAAAATTATAAAAAATGCAATATCTATTTTAAATTTTTCAAAACAAATTTCTAAAACCTCTTTGTCCAATTTGTGTGACCAATTATAATTATAAATCGTTTACCATAAAATATACAAATTTGAGTATCAATTTGCATAATTTATTTAATTTTACATAATACTAATTTGTTTTAATACAAAAACACACTTTTTTATGCATTTTAAATCTGTTTTAATCAAATTTCAAAACACATGTGTTGATAAAATCATTATTCATATGTTTTCATGTTCGTGGGCGTACTTGTTTGAATGAAAATGGTTTTAGATAAATGTCAAGAGCATATATTAAATTTTATAATGAGTTTAATATTATTAGAATGTTGGTTTTAAATAGTGAAAATATTTGCACACTGTCTGATATAATAGTTTTGAATAAAACGACTTTGAATTCGAAATTTCATTCTTTAGTAGCAATAAATAGAAAATTCGGGTCATTTTTTTGGTTTTTGTCAAATAACTTTATATGAAAGCACCCTTTTTAAGTTATATAGGATGAAACTAGATAAAATTTACTTTGATTTCATGCACACTATATGTATGCAATTATGTATATATAGTATGTATGTAGACAACAAAACAGTTTTCTGGTACTTTACTCATGTAATTAATACCCCGAGGGAAATCTAACTTTAACCACAGCAACATGGACGATAAAGTCCTGATAAATTTATTAATAAGAACACATACACACACACACATATACATATATATTATATATATATATATATTATATATATATATCGATTATTATTTTCCTTCCAATTACAAGTTTGTCATCGACTTTATTATTAGTTTCTCGATAAGGAAATCAATCAATCACATTATTATTATTATTAATTGTTATCGAACAGTCAAAACAATATGTTTACACAGAAAACCAGAATTCATTATATGAAATTAATATACAGAAGTTTGTTTCTGTTTGTTCTTCTAGTAAAGAAACTATGAGAAAATTATATGGGAAATAATAATGTTCCGATTCAAAAATTCACTGTGGCTAAAATACTTAATTTTAGAATTATGTTATTTATATATATGATACTTTAGAGTGTCTTCTAAATTTAAAAAATACTTATTCGCAACTAAATATTTTTTTTATATTTTTTTTAACCAAAAGTTCCCAAAATTATATGGGGAATAATAATGTTCCGATTCAAAAATTCACTGTGGCCAAAATATGTATTTTAGAATTATGTTATTTATATATATGATACTTTAGAGTGTCTTCTAAATTTAAAAATATTTATTCGCAACTAAATATTTTTTGTATTTTTTTATCAAAAGTTCCCAAAATTATATGGGGAATAATAATGTTCCGCTTGAAAATTCACTGTGGCCAATAGTAATTTAGAATTATGTTATTTATATATATGATACTTTAGAGTGTCTACTAAATTTAAAAAATACTTATTCGCGACTAAATATTTTTTTTGTATTTTTTTTATCCAAAAGTTCCCAAAATTATATGGGGAATAATAATGTTCCGATATAAAAATTCACTGTGGCCAAAATATGTATTTTAAAAGTCTGTTATTTACATATATGATACTTTAGAGTGTCTTCTAAATTTAAAAAATATTTATTCGGAACTAAATATTTTTTTTATTTTTTTTATCCAAAAGTTCCCAAAATTATATGGGGAATAATAATGTTCCGATTTAAAAATTCACTGTGGCCAAAATATGTAATTCAGAATTATGTTATTTGTGTAAATGATTCTTTAGAGTGTCTTCTAAATTCAAAAATACTTATTTGCAACTAAATATTTTTTTAATATTTTTTTTAACCAAAAGTTCCCACGAGAAACGCATTTTTTGAATAACTGAATGCATTCTTCCCACCAAGACATGAAGTAGAGATGTCCGAAATTTATATCGAAAATAAATAAATAAATAAATATATATATATATATATATATATATATATATAATTAAAACAAGTGAATAGTATTCTTAATTATCCAATATTTTTTTAGAAATTAGAATAATTAAATTTTGAATTATATTTGCATTTATTCGTTTAATTTTTTCAATACAGTGATTTTTTTTATATTTATTTTTAATAAGCCACGTTTCTCTAATGTAGTTACTTCAAGAAATCACCTATAATTTTATTTTAAGATAAAATATATGTTGTTTTATATTTTTAATATTTAAATAAGTATATTAGGTATGTAGTATAGTTTTGACACAAAAAAAAACAAACTTGGATTTAAACAAGATTTTAAAAAATTGTTAAACCCAAAATATAAGTTCTACAAGTCTATAATTTGTTTATAATAAATTTATTATATTGTATCAAATTTTAAAAATACTATACAATATATATTTTTATAATTGGAATTATGAATGATTTATTGAAGCTTGTATTGTAAAGTTCATCAAATCAGAAAGTAATTTAAAAAAAAAATTATAATTACAAAATTAAATTTTGTAGAAGGCTGTAATTTTTATATGTTGTATTTAATATATTGCTTTAATTTATAAAAATATTATATACTACATATTTTATTTCTAATTAAAATTATAGACAATTTTGTAAAGCAATAACTTGCTTCATTTAATTTTCTACACATGAAAGTTTATAGATATTTTAGAAAAAATATTTTGGATAAACTATATTTTGTAGAATGTTGTAATTTGAATATGTGATATCTGATATATTACTTTAAATGCTAAAAATACCAACAAGTAATTTTTAGCCTCCAAAGTAT